TCTCTGCCTGCCTCTCTGCCTACTTGTGATCTCGGTCTGTCAAATAAATAAATAAAAATCTTTTTAAAAAGTAGGGTTTGGCTGTAAAGGAAGAATGGAGAAATAGAAACTGGGTAGATAGCTGACAGTGAGTACTTACAAGTATCAAGACAAGAGCTAAGGAAGCTGGTTGGATTCAGCAACATGGAGATAATTATTGGTGCCCTTCAGAAAAGATGCTCAGTGGTGTGATGGCTTTGGCAGACCAAAAGGACTGAGGATTGAATGGAAAGTGAAACACAGTGAAACACGGATAAACTGACTAAAGACGCTCCGTTTAAGAAGAGAAAGCGGGGCTCCTGGCTGCTTCAGTCAGTAGAGCTCAGTTGGTAGAGATTAACTCCTGACCTTGGGGTTATAAGTTCAAGCTGCATGTTGCATGTAGAGAGTACTTAAAAATAAAATCTTTTTAAAAAGAGAGAGGGGGTGCCTGGGTGGCTCAGTCGTTAAGCATCTGCCTTAGGCTCATGTCATGGTCCCAGGGTCCTGGGATCGAACCTTGTATCGTGGGCCCCCTGCTCAGCAGGAAGCATGCTTCTCCCTCCCCAACTCCCCCTGCTTGTTCCCTCTCTCGCTGTTTCTCTCTCTGTGTCAAATAAATAAATAAAATATTCAAATAAAGAGATAGAGAGAAAGAAAAAGGGAAGCTGAGGATTGAGTAATGGCATTTCTTCTGATAATGAGAGATTTGAACATCTAAAAATATTAATGGGGGAGATCCAGTTTAAAGGGAAATGTTGAGGGGCTCCTGGGTGCTCCGTCGGTTGCTAATCTGACTTTTTAAAAAGATTTTATTTATTTGAGAGAGAAAGAGCGTGCATGAGTTGGGAGGAGGGGCGGAGGGAGAGTGAGAAGAAGACTTCCTTCTGAGCAGGGAGCCCAACACAGGGCTCGATCCCAGGGCCCTGAACCATAGGCAGACACTTAATTGACTGAGCCCCAAGTACCCTGAGTGTCTGACTATGATTTCAGCTCAGGTCACGATCTCAGGGTTGTGAGATCGAGACCCATGATGGGTTCCATGCTGGAGTCTGCTTAAGATTCTCTCTCTCTCTCCCCTCTCCCTCTGCCCCTCCCCCCTACATGTCCCCATACTCTCTCTCAAAAGGAAAAAAAAATAGAAAAAAAATACTTGAGTGTAATAATTGAACCTTAAACATGAAGTCAGAGAATATTCTAATGCAGACTATTAATGATACAGGGAGATTCTCCTCAGAGAACTTCGTTCAGAATGATTGAGCTTGGATGAGAGTACATGTGGTAAACTGGAGATTTCTGGGTTTTAGGTGGTTGGTGCGCACATAAGCGTTCTCACTCTTCCCCCACCCACTGCCTCTCACCCCATCCCTGGTCACCACCTTGTCCTTGACCCCTATTCCAGGTGGTGGGTTGGTTATGAATTAAGTCTCACAGATGAAATGAACTTAGAGAAGAGATGAGGGTGTCTGTTTTACATATTACTTGGTAATATAATTTCCCCAAAGATGCTGAAAGTTTATTAGATTTTTAGATAAGTTGAAATGTCATGATTTACTAATTCTGGTATATAGTATACACTCAGCAAAGTGGCCATTGTTATGCTTGTTATTGTTACTTAAACCCCAGAGAATTAGCATCTCTAATTAAGCCTTTTAAGGTTACCCAGAATTGGGGCGCCTGGGTGGCTCAGTGGGTTAAGCCTCTGCCTTCAGCTCAGGTCATGATCTTGGGGTCTTGAGACTGAGCCCCATGTTGGGCTTTACACTCAACAGGGGGAGTCTGCTCAGGATTCTTTGTCTCCCTCTCCCTCTGCCTCTCACCCTGCTCTCTCTCTCTCTGTCGCTAAAATAAATAAATCTTACAAACAAAACAAAACAGTGATTTCTACAGTGTAGATTGTTTGTAATGACCCAACTGTCATCCCTGCTGCCCTGTGAGAGCAGAGAATTAAAAAAATAAATGATTTAATGAGCAAACAAACTAATATATAATTCACAACTCCGCTGAACTTTATGTATGTTTTCTGATTATTCTGGGTCCAGGCCCATGAAGTTCCTTCCCCTAACTTGATCTCTGAACACTATCAACCCACATCGTACCCTCCAAAAGGAACACAAAGCCCCCACTGCTGGATGCTGAATGTTTATCTTCCTCCCTTGATTACTGCAAAAACTGTGGTTTTTTTCTGTCTTTTAAACTTCAGTATTTGATGTTCTGTGATTGTCCTTGAATTCTGTTGTTGTCTTTTTATATTTCTGATAACGGCCCTGTTAAGCAAAATCAGCACATTACATTTTTTTTTAATTTATTTATTTGACAGAGATCACAAGTAGGCAGAGAGGCAGGCAGAGAGAGGAGGAAGCAGGCTCCCTGCCGAGCAGAGAGCCCGATGCGGGACTCGATCCCAGGATGCTGGGATCATGACCTGAGCCGAAGGCAGAGGCTTTAACCTACTGAGCCACCCAGGTGCCCCAGCACATTACATTTTTTACTGACTTACCTATAAATTGAGGTACATAGTGGATTTATAGTCCACAAAAGGATTTTAGTTGAATCAGGACATCAGGATGGTTATAATAAGCCACCTGGAGTAACCCCGACCTTCACTAATAAGTCCCAGATCCTATCCCATCAGAATTGGGGCACTTACACAGCTGGTTGCCGTACACACACACATACACATGCATGCGTGTTAAATCACAGTCAGAGACTTTTTGCTCTTCAGTGCACTACTCCTGACACCCTCTGAGGATGAGAGGTACCAGGTACTTAGTCACCGTTGCTTCAACTATATTTACTTACCATTTGGGGAGAAACCATTTAACTAGGACTTTTAGATACAACATTGCTATGGCAAATTCATACTCTCAGAAGTATCTGGTATTAATTAACAGTTTTAAGTGAAAACAAACTCACTTCTAAACCCAGACATATTCAGTGTTACCTTTATTTCTTCCCTTCAAGGTTGAGATAATGAGAAACAATATTCTATTCTTTTCTTTTCTTTCAGAGAGAGAGCGAGAGCACAAGTTGAGGGAGAGGTAGAGCGGGAGGGAGAAGCAGGCTCCCCACTGAGCAGGGAGCCCGACATGGGACCTGATCCAGGAACCCTGACATCATGACCTGAGCTGAAGGCAGATGCTTAACCAATGGAGCCCCCTAGGGGCCCTTGTTTTTTCTTAAGTAACACACACAGCCACTACATTTGTGTTGCTTTTCTTCCCTCCTAGGAGGAAATAATCCTAAACAGGATCTTTGGGCAACTTCGTTTATGGCAGGCTCTTAGGGGGTTAATGGCTTGCCTTTGCTAGTTGCAGTCACCTGATCTTGCCCCAGTAATGACACACCTGCAGGCAGAAATACTCACCCACCTTCTCTAGCCAGTGCTTCCAGAACTTGAGCAAATCCTTGTTCTTTGAGCTTCTCTTTTCTAGACTAGAACTGATCCCCTCTTCTCATCAAACAAATCTCACTACCCTTGACTGCACTATAGCTTCAGGGATGTTAATAGAATAAAATTCCCTTGAAAACTGTATCCTAGGGGCGCCTGGGTGGCTCAGTGGGTTAAAGCCTCTGCCTTCGGCTCGGGTCATGATCTCAGGTCCTGGGATCGAGCCCCGCATCAGGGCTCTCTGCTCAGCAGGGAGCCTGCTTCCTCCTCTCTCTCTGCCTGCCTCTCTGCCTACTTGTGATCTCTCTCTGTCAAATAAATAAATAAAAAATCTTTAAAAAAAAAAAAAAAAAAAAAGAAAACTGTATCCTAGTTGCCCTGATTAGGATCTATCTGTCCTTCCTCCAAACCCTTAGCCATTTATTCTGAGATTATTGCATTGAATTACTTTCTACAGGTAGTTCGTTTTATCCATGTTTTCCCCCCAAGGGTTTTTGTCTGAGGATAATGAAAATTCAAAGTCTTTGGGCCAAAATTCTCTTCTTTGAGTATTTTTGTCTATTGTTCTTTTTCCTTATTACTTAAACACAGAGCTATCTTAACTAATTCACTGCAAGGGCAGTGAAAGAATACACTGATGGGTCTGGATAGGAGGACTTGCTTGTTTAGAAAGTACTTTTTGTGACCAAGCATAGCGAGACTCTGATCCTTTAGGTGATGTGAAGTACATCTCTCAAAGGGCTGTGTGAATTCCCAGGTCTCAGAGGGCCTTGCACTTGTAGCCTCTGTACTAACATAACAAAACTGTGCTCCGATGTTAGTGAAACGGAAACTTCACCAGTCTTGAGAAAAGGCATGTGTCAGTCTTAATGATCAAAAGGGGTTTTTTTCCTATCAATACAGATCAATCCTTTGAATTTTATCTTTCGGACTGACAGTATGACTTTTGCTAACTATAGCTCTTACCTTTGATAATAAACATTATCATTATCCTCTTCCCAAATATAAACCAAACACTGTGACTGCCCCTAAAAGGCATTTCTGCCTTCTCTCCTTTGGGTGCTCTTTCTTCTTGCCCATTTGAAACCTTTCTCTACTCACTGCCCATCCAGTTTGACCTATTCTTTAGGGCCTCTCTGAAGTACCTTCTCCTCCAGGAAACTATTCCTTGACTTTGGCCTTATTCAGTCTAGTGTTTAGTTGTGTTCTGTACATTCTACCCAGCACAGTTAGGAATTTCACATTTATGCCTATTCATTTATAAAGTTCTCGAGAGAGGGCACCATGCCTCTCACTTCTCTAGTACCACGCACAGCCTACTCCCAGCACAAGTGTTTAATTGATACTCACTGAATCAAACTGAATCAGATCAGATGTCATGGAGAGCTATGGTTGTCTCTTTCTCATCTCAGTCAAGATATTGACCCAAGCAACCAGAACAAAACTTACTTGAGGGTGTTCCAAATAAGTTAGATATTACACATTCTCAAGAATGGATTTTTTTTCCTTTGTTGAAGTCAGAAGAATCCTTTTCCATTTGAAAACTGAAGTGCTAACTTTATTAATGATGGTTTTTGCATGTCTTCAATAGGCTGCACGATAAATGGCCAAGAAGTAAGATTCACTGTCCATTATGAAAATGGGTTCACTATCTCCAAGGAGAATGGAGGTTCCAGCAGCATATTGTACCGCTACCCCTTTGAGAGGCTGAAAATGTCTGCTGATGATGGCATTAGAAATCTGTATCTGGATTTTGGTGGTCCTGAAGGAGAACTGGTAAGAGTGTTTCTGAAAACCATGTTTACTCTAAAAGGTATTTTCTTTCTTTCTCATTGTGTCTTACCTTTTGTATAGAAAACTGTGGACAGGGCGCCTGGGTGGCTCAGTGGGTTAAAGCCTCTGCCCTCGGCTCAGGTCATGGTCCCAGGGTCCTGGGATCGAGGCCCGCATCGGGCTCTCTGCTCAGCAGGGAGCCTGCTTCCTCCTCTCTCTCTGACTGCCTCTCTGCCTACTTGTGATCTCTCTCTCTGTCAAATAAATAAATAAAATCTTTAAAAAAAAAAGAAAACTGTGGACGTATCATCCATTTGGAGTCAGGAAATTGTTCTTCAGTTTTCAAGATGTATTGGGTTTGGGTTTGGGGCCTGTGTGTGTGTGTGTGTGTGTGTGTGTGTGTGTGTTTCTTTCCCCCACTTCAGGAAATCATTCCTTTTTAAAAAGTTTTGTTTGAATGGTAGAAGGGAAAAATGGATAGCCCTTTTAAGAAATAGGCTTTTATCAAATATGAGCTATAAAATACAAAAGCTGGTGAACTTTAATAAATAAATTCTATCCATTGCTATTATTAGTAGTTGGTTGAGACGAGTTAAAAGTAATAGAATGACTTGGTTGCTACAGAAATTCTGCTGATGAGAAAAAAGATACAGAGGTATCTCCACACAACCATCATTTTTTTTTTTTAAAGCTCCTTGTCTTTTAAAGGAAAGATCGGCAGGAATTTATGATTTCCCTTAGGGAACCACAGAAGTGTGTAAAGTTTACTTCAGAAATCATAAATTATGATAAAGGAGTAAAATAATGCCTTTTCTGTCTTATCATTTTTTTAAAGATTTTATTTATTTATTTGATAGAGATCTCAAGTAGGGGGAGAGGCAGGCAGAGAGAGGGAGAAGAGGAACAGGGAGACCGATGCGGGGCTCCATCCCAGGATGCTGGGATCATGACCTGAGCCAGAGGCAGAGGCTTTAACCCACTGAGCCACCCAGGTGCCCCAAGTTCAAGTCTTATACATGAAATATTATGTCTATTGACACTCACCATAAATGGAAATTTGCAAAACAGAATCTTGACATTTTATTACTGAAAGAGATCTTAGAGAAAATAACTTCCAAATAAGAAATCATGTCTAGAAATCTTATTTTAAATGATGAACCTTTAGGAGACTATGATTGGACTATGGACCAAGGGCTTTTCAAAAGCTTGAAGCAGCCATTTGCAACGACGTAGATGAAACTAGAGGGTATTATGCCAAGCGAAATAAGTCAATCAGAGAAAGAGAATTATATATGAAGAAACAAATATATGAAGAAGAGGATCATGGGGGAAGGAAGGGAAAAATAAGATAAGACGAAGTCAGAGGGGGAGACAAACCATAAGAGACTCTTGGGGCGCCTGGGCGGCTCAGTGGGTTGGGCCTCTGCCTTCCGCTGGGGTCATGATCTCAGGGTCCTGGGATTGAGTCCTGATTGGGCTCTCTGCCCAGTGGGGAACCTGCTTCCCCCTCTCCCTCTGCTTGCCTCTCTGCCTGCTTGTGATCTCTCTGTCAAGTAAATAAATGAAATCTTTAAAAAAAAAAAAAAATAAGAGACTCTTAATCATGGGAAACAAATTGAGGGTGCTGGAGGGGAGGGGGCTGGGAGGGATGGGGTGATGGATATTGAGGGGGGCACGTGATGTGATGAGCACTGGGTATTATATAAGACTGATGAGTCTACCTCTGAAACTAATAATACACTGTATGTTCATTAATTGAATTTAAAAAAAAAAAAGAAGAAGAAGAAGAAGAAGTGGGAAACATCCCTCAGAAGGCCAGAGGGAAGTATAGTCTGAAACATCACATCACTGACTTCCCATCCAAGGGTCTTTGATTAGGTCAGGGTTGTTTTAAGGGCCTCAAGAAACCAATAAGCACTTTAAAATCATTTGGATTTCAGCATTGTATCTATATTTCTGGTATATTTGATCTTGCTGGGAAGTAAAAATATATATATATATATATATATATATATATATATATATATATATATATATTTTAAAAGCCTCAAGCATTAGATAGAGTTAAATGCTTCTATTAAATTAACTTATGTTAAATTAACTAGTTATTTATAGCAGTTGTCATTTAGCAAGATAGGTATTAGATTATTCCTGGCTATATAGTTTTACTCCCTGCTTTATATTTAATGTATACAAAGTTTAATGATGAAATTCATGCTCTGTAATTTATATTTTGAATAAAGTTGTATTTTTCTTTAAAAGGCATAGTTAACTATGCCCTATTCCTAGTTTCTGCATCAGTGCTGAGGACTGGCTTGACTCACAGCCCGATGCAGGTCTCCTTGTTCACCTGGTGTCAGCTGTCCAGATAGAGGCCTGAGCTTAGGAATCTATGACTAGCCCTCCTAACTAGCCTCAGGAGTTGCATTCCTACCACAAACCTGTGAGGGATACCAAAAATCATACCCATCCATAGTCACATACAGCTGCATTCACTCTGATTCCCCTGGGAATATAATCCTAATTAATGATCTCCATATAGCATATTCCTCTTTGTTTTCCATCTTCTTCCATTTGGTTCTTCCTGCCAGGTATGGTGGATTCCAGCTCCCCACCACTTGTCTCCTAACTGTGATGTGGAAGCTCACACTAGTGTTTCATTACTACATGGAGTGACCTTATTTCAGAGTATACTTTTCATTTGTGGCTTTAAGTTCCTGAGAGATGTTTCCATAAATCTGGCACCTTTTTTTTTTTTTTTTAAGATTTTATTTATTTATTTGAGAAAGACAGAGAGCATGGGTGGGGGAGGGGGAGAAGGAGAAGCAGACCACCCCCCCCCCCCCCCCCCCACTGAGCAGGGAGCCTGATTCGGAGCTCAAGGATCATGACCTAAGCCTAAGGCAGTCACTCAATCAACCGAGCCACCCAGGAGCCCCAACACCTTCTTAATCCAAATTCTTTCTAAAAAGTAGAACAACACATCCAAATTTGTTCGTTTTGTGTCTGTTTATGAAAGCTTCTGTGTGTGGTAGTGATCATTCGTGTGCTTTCTCCACAGACCGTGGACCTGCACTCTTGTCCGAAGCCGATCGTATTTGTGTTGCACACGTTCTTGTCAGCCAAAGTCACTCGCATGGGACTGCTGGTATGAGCAGCAGAAAATCAGAAAAGAGTCTTGAATGTCACAAGAAGTATTTCCACCTCAAAAAAAAAAAAAAAAAAAAGCACAAAAAGAAAGCTCTTTGCTCTCTCCTCCAGCACAGTGCCTTGACAAGGACCTGCAGATCACTGCTGAACAGTAACTGTGTTTAAAGAAGAGCCTGCCTTTCACAAGCTACCTTGGCCAGAAATTCTAGGATTCTAATAAGCTCTAAACTGAAGCTGTTGATTTATTGCCTCGTTTCCTAATGTGGTTTCTAAGTCACTAGATTTATTTCCCCTCTGAAGAAGGATGGCTCATTGTGGGTTTTTGTTTTGTTTTGTTTTGTTTGTTTTTTTGGACGTAATCAAATATCCAAGAGTTGTTTTCATTTTCTTCTTGTAGGATTTATTTCAAGCCTCGACATCTTGCTTAGTTCAACCATCTTTTCCCAGGTGCTAGTTGACAGCCGCTTGTGCTTCTGGGCCATTCCGGATAGGTCCTACGTGCTATTGGAGCTTACTGTCACTTCATCCTTCCACCCTAGGAAGTCCTTGAATTGCACACCAAAGCGTTCTCACATCTGTCCTGGCTCTCCTGCATCCCACTCTGGCCACCACTTTCCTACCGCATCACAAGGTTGCCACTCATAAGTGCTAACTTTAGGACTTAGAACTTGTGAAATTTGATTTGCCTTGCCTTCCATTCCCTTTCTAATGGTGACCAAGTAGGAAACCACTGATTTGAAAGAAGAGGTTTGCTTATTTTAGGTTTTTCTGACTTATCTTTGGTAGGAACCAGGCGATAAGATTTCTTTTAAAAGAAAATCCTCATTTTAGCCTAAGCCATTTTTTTATTGCTTACCAAATGTGCCTTTGGTTAGGGTTAGTGGAGCTTTATTAGTCACTGTTTGAATAACTGGATTATCACTGCCATTCCAGGGAGATCATCCACCTTGGTTTTGAGGAATAGTCTTTGAGATGGGTTTCCTTAGGAGTATCTTTTCTAGTGGGTAGATCTCACTGAGGAAGATAAATCTTGGAAAGCCCGCTTCTTTAAAGAGTAAGCTCTATAAAGCCATCTCTTAAGCACAAACATCATGTGAAGTTGCTTTGGGCTTTGTGAGCCCATGCTGGATCCTGGCCCTGGTCCTCTCCCTTTGTGGCAGCAGAGTGGCATGGACAGGCGGTTGCTAATTCAAGACTCCCTGTTGGCTTAATAATGCATTCTCTGGTGGGCAGGTTGATGAGACCACAGAACAGCTACCTGGGTTTTCCTAAGCATTGCCAGATGTCATCATTATTTAGTAGCAGTAAGATTGTGGTATTAAAGAATCACACTCAGCTTGTTTTTCCTAATTATGAAGGAGGTATATATCTGAAAACATTTAAAATAACATAATAGCTATATATAATGACAAGATTACTACAGTCCCCAGATCTAAAAGAAAAGGTGATATTGACTCAGATGTTCTCGGTATTCGTGGAGGAAAAGTCTAGGGATACTTCTTACTTACTAGATCTATTAGGAGTGTCATAAAGAGGAGGTGAGCACTTCAGGGGGTATAGGAGGGTAACACTCCAAACAGGGAAGGAAAAACCCCACAACCATAAATGCAAAACATAGCTATTTGGTTTGAGTGTGAACTGATCTAGGTGGGACATTTGAAAGAGCAGACTCATGAGCAGAGAGTTTGAGTTAGACATTGTAACTCCATTGTCTTTCTTCTGCCCATAAGTCAATCTTTCTTCCCCTTGTACAATGAGATTAACCACATGCAGAGGCTGGGGAGAGATTACAGTTCTTCCCCCGGCTACAGTTCCAAAAATAAATGATTTGATCCACTTAAAACTGGAAATTGGAATCTAGACGAGAATATGCCTTTCAAGAATTTTTTTTTTTTTTTTTTTTTTTCCTTTCAAGAATTTTTTTATGTTTTAAGGATTCATAGACCTATGTTTAGTTCCATCTTTAGTAAATTTGCAAGGGAAGAAAATAAATATCTTGAAGGTCCAGCTATGATTTCTGGAAGCAGAATTTCGACACATAATACCCTTAGATAAGGGAGCTTAGACATTCTTTGCAGTGAGAGCATTATTAACCTGAAAAGTTGCACAGTGCAATCACAGACTTTGCAGCAAAGCCATTTGGTTGAGGTTTTCTTGGTTAGTGTGAAAGGCTAAGCCACTGAGAATATTTTCAGGGAGAACTTACAAGCCCCCGTGCCCATCAGTTATATGAAAAAGATCTCTAAAAAGGGTGTAATGAACATGTGAGCAGGAGAAGGTAAAGTGTGTGAGCCATTTTGGCTCATTTTGTTCAAGCTTGAACCATCATGTTTAACACCAAGGTCCATAAGGTTTTTTAAATATTTTGAGTCTTAATGTGAAATGAAAATGTGTGGGAGATTTCCTTTGACCACTAGCACCCCCGAGAGCAAGAGCCCTTAAGCTGCCTGTGTAACATCAACAGCTTTCCAATCATGGGTGAACAGCTTGTTCTTCAATTAAGTGTGTTTATGGAGTTTTCAAACCACAAATGAAGTGCTTTTTATGAATAGGACAGCCTTGATAAATACGTATTTTGTATTAAGATGCCAAAATATGGCAAATTATTTTCAAACGATAACTAAAAATGGGCATTCGGGGTATTTCACACCTTTTCTAGAACAGCTTAACTTGTCATTTCTTTTTCATTTTGAATAAGGAAAGTTGCTGAGAATGTTGTGGGCTTCCATGTGTAGATGGGAATGAACCTGCAGAGTAGTGTCATCCCAATGGACCCACTTCCATGCCCTCAGTTCCCCCCAGACCTGGGGCTTTGACATCTTCTCCATATTCCACACAGATGTCTCTAAGTAGCCAATTGGCGTGTGAAAATTCTTCCTCCTCATTTCCTAAAATTTCCCCTTTTCCTCTCCAAAGAAAAAAAGAAAGAAAGAAAGAAAGAAAGAAGGGCTCAGTTACTCTTTTTCTGAAAAAGGTAAGCCCTTTCCTGAAGTTATCAGACCTTACCTGGAAATAAGTATCTAATATTTTATATGAAGAAATACTTTAATGTATGTTTATACAGTATTTATTAGATAGTTATAACTGTAAACTCACCTACCTAGTAGACAGTTTCAGATTAAATATTAGGACATGTATAAGCAATCAAAAATTACTTTACATATCATTCACTTATTTTAAAGCCATGTTTTAGCACTTTTTAGGCTAGGTGAAGTCTGATCATGCCTGTTTTTATCAGCTGTACCCTCACAAACTTTGATATGGAACATTATTGGATGGCAGGAGAGATTGAATTATTTATTTCTTATATTTTTAGAAGTGGAAAAATCTAACCAACAAATGATAAAAGTTGCCACTGATTATTTGTTTTCCTAATTTATCATCCTAAGCAAAATGGTAACAAAGCTTTTTTCAGCTGATTAAATGCACTTAGCTAATAGACCAAAATTTATTCTTTAAAAAAAAAATTAAGCTGTGTGGAATCTGGACAAGATTATGTTTCTCTCAGAAAAAGTTTTCACTGTAAGTGGTTTTGATGGACAAAAGTGTGACCACTTTTGAGAAAAAGTTATGATGGTTTTTTTTTTAATTTTGTGAGAAACTCCAGGTCTTCTTGTTTAATTTATGTGCATGTGGATATATTTGTATGTTGTCAAAAACATGGAAGAATCTCCATATTTTTAATGCAAATTATATTGTAAGCTGCTATGCAAATTTTATTAAAACCCTACCTACTTAAAAGTTAAACATTTTTAAGCTTTCAGGGAAGACCTGTAGACTTAAGCACTTTCTCTGCTCTTTTGTATCTTATCTTGGACACTTATGCTGAACTTTGTTCTTATTATTTTCACTTGTTATAAGCTATTGATTGTATGTAATATTGAAACTATCCAAATATCCAGCATACATTTCCACGTTGCTGCCATCCACCGTTGATGCCATGAATGAATGGTTGGTTAGAAAGCCAAAGGTCATATTTTTTCAATTGCTAATGAAGAAGTAAAATGCCTGACCTCTTTGGTCTCAAAGCAAATTGCTCTGGTCAGATCAAATATCTATGTAAGGAAAAGAGACTTCTTTAAATTTGGAATTCGGCTTAAACTTCAAGTTTAAGTTGAATTTGACCATAACCATATTCACTCTTTTTGTATGTGTATCTCTATCAGGTCTGTAATATACCAGGTGGTATTATATTATATCCTGTCTTAAGTTTGGAAATCTTAGTTAAATTTAAGTTGTTATTGGGGCTTTTTTTCCCCTCCTGAAGATGAAAGCAGAGGAATCTGCCATTTGCTACTGTTCTCTCTCTTTCAAGATTGCATGGTAATCTAGAATTCTTTTTACTTTCTACGTACTGTCTTTAAAAACCAACAGCAGCAGTCTCTACTCTCCCTTCTTTTTTAAAGCTGTCTCCTTCCCTGTGCTGGGTATATAGACAATAAATGTGTGATGACAGACAATTATAAAATAATTATGTTGTATATCAAGATTATGTGTTTTTGAGCAATAGAGCTACTCCTATCATGTAATGATAAGTGAAATTTACGCTAGAAAGAGACTGCTTAGTGGCATATTTGAAACCATTTCTCTAAAAAAAAAAAGTAGATCTGGCAGATCAGTGATATAAGTTCATTCTATCGAAGGATAGAATTTCAAGTTAAAATAAGGTACCAAAAATAGGTTCATAGAGCACACCTGTATATCTGTTGTCTTTTTTTTTTTTTTTTTAACAATAGCTAAACTCCCCACTGGAAGAGTGGTTTTTATATATTAGCTCAACAAAATATTTTAACAAGATTTCTTCTTTTGTTTCAAAACTGATAAACTTGAGATTAATCTTTTGCCACCTCAATTCTTCCCACTTCAGGTGACTGAACCAAAGCAGACTTAAGTTTTAAAGATTTTTTTTTTTTTTTTAATTTGTCAGAGACAGCGAGAGAGGGAACAGAAGCAGGGGGACGCGGGAAAGGGAGAAGCAGGCTTCCTGCAGAGCAGGGAGCCCAATGTGGGGCTCGATCCTAGGATCCTGGGATCATGACCTGAGCCGAAGGCAGACGCTTAATGACTGAGCGAC